TGAAGTCCACAAGTCTTAAAGCTGCCAAGTTTGGGGACCCCTGAGTTAGAAGATGCTTTTAAAAAAAGAAAAGAAAAGGTAAAGATGGTCTTGAGTTTATTCCAACTTCTTGTTTCTACATTTATTTATTGATTTCTTGTTTCTAAGAGGTTTGTCATTGCTGCCTTCTGCCACTTCCTGGTCTAGTCTAAACTTCGGGATTTCTTTGTGGTCTCCTCTTCAACAGCTGATCGGTCATGACACAGCTTAGTTCCAAGATCAGCTGGATGTTGATATCTGCTGAGACACTAAGATGCTCTTTCAGGGCTACAGTTGAAAGAAAAAAATGATTCATTTTTTGAATGTTTCATTTTTGTATAAGACTTCATGGACCAGATCTTACTTTGAGGGATGGAGTTTTGTTCGTCAGAATATCCCAGAACTTTCTTTGCCCTGTTCTCCTGGGCAGATGACAGGAAACATTTCCTGGGTACAAAATCCATTTCCCTAGGTCTGCTCACACCTTTTTGTCTTCCTTAACACTTCAAATCTTTTGAAGAACACTTCTTCGTTTGTTTGTTTGAACATTTAGCTTCTTCAAGTCTAAAGGCCAATGCTTCACCATTGTTTTCCATTGCTTCAACCTGAAGCTGATCGCGCCATAATCGGAGTAGATCCTTCATTAATGTAATATCTCATCTCAGCAGATGACCTCATTGTTCAAGACACAACATGTTTGTTTATTTGTTTGTTTGTTTGTTTGTTTATAACATTTCTGGACCACTCATCTCCATCAAAGAACGACCCATGAAGATGCTTTTCTGGTTCAGGAACTCTGGGCCCATTTCTTTCAGAACCACATCCTTCAAGGACATGATCTTTGATCAAGTCCTCCAATTGGCTTAAGATGCCAACGTAGGATCCCAGTTGGTTAGAAAGCACCAAGCTATTACGCTAACAGAAGTAACATCTAGATCAGTGGTGAAATTCAATTTTTTCTACTACCGGTTCTGTGGGCGTGGCTTGGTGGACGTGACAGGGGAAAGATACTGCAAAATCCCCATTCCCTCCCCACTCCTGGGGGAAGGCTATTGTAAAATCTCCATTCCCACCCACTCTGGGGCTAGCCAGAGGTGGTATTTGCTGGTTCTCCGAACTACTCAAAATTTCTGCTACCGGTTCGCCAGAACCTGCTGAATTTCACCCCTGATCTAATTATTTTACTTGTACTCAGAAAGCCAGGAAAAAAAAATAGTTTTCTTCTCATGATGTGGTTGTCCTTGTTCAGATGCTAAGTTGTGTCTGACTCTTTGTGACCCCTCCGTCCTCCATTGTCTCTCAGAGTTTGCCTAAATTCATCTTCATTGCATCAATGACACTATCTAGCCATCTCCTCATTTGCTGTCCCCTTCTTTTTTTCTGCCTTCCATCTTTCCCAACATCAGGGTCTTCTCCAGTGAGTCCTCTCTTCTCATTTGGTGGCCAAAGTATTTGAACTTCAGCCTCAGTATCTGACCTTCCAAAGAACAGGCACGGTTGATTTGAGTCAATGTTGATCCGGTTGTAGCCATACACTAATTTGAAGGACCTCAGCAATTCTTCAGTAGGTTGCATCACTCCATCTTGAAACATACACTAATTTTAAACCAATTTGTAACGGGCAAAGTTCAACGTTTTGATTTATTTCACCTCAAAGAGGAAAAAGGAAATGCAATTTTGTACCTGTCTCGTAACAGAAAGGTTTTGCCAAGAAAGAGCAAAGTACAATCTTCGGTATTTTTAGCAATCCGTCTTCCAGTGTGTGATGTCATTTCGGGGGGCCAAATGTTGCCCTTGTGTCTTTTGGCGATTTTTTAAAAAATAAATTTTCAGTGATATTAGAGAATTTCTCAATATATCCAACTTAAATTTATGGATGTCCCTGTTGGCTGTATTTGTGGACTCCTGTTCTTTTGATTTTGTGTACAGGTGATTGAGTACATAGAAAATTAACTTTATCAAAACACATATCCATCATTCTAATTCAACCTACCTACAGATTCATTAGATAGTCTTCTTTTGCCCATCTCCCATATTGAATATAGCAATTCGTAGAAGTTCTCCAAATGCAGCAAGTCTGTGCAAGTTCTATTTTTTGTGTGTTTATATTTATTCTTTCTACCTGATCCCCCAAATGTAATATATTTTGTGGACACAAATGCAATTAGGTTTGCATCACTTTAAATGATAGAATCAGGGAGCTGAAGACTCATCTGTTGGCTTGCAGGTAAAGACACTAAAATCATACCATACATGGCAAAGTTCAGTTTTGTAGCCTTGCAGATATGGGACTTTTGAAGAAAGAAACAGAAAGTGTAGGAAGACAGTGGCTTTGCTCTTACCATTGTACATTGTAATATTTTTTGTTGTTACGTACAGTAAGTTTATGTTTTGAATTTCTCCTTCACTAGAAAGGACTTCATGGTGGCATGTTGCTCTGTATAGCAGTGCTATTACCTGGAAGATGGCAGGTGGAGCTTCTCCTTTCTCCCAATGGCAGATTGTGTCTCTGTTGTAGCCCGCCAGCAGAGCTGGCAGCAGATTCAGACAGTGAGGAGGTTGTGGGGGAACAGGGGCCAGTCCTGGAATCTGGGGAAGGCGAGGGATCTGCATCAGAGGCAGAGAGGGATCTAGGGCCGTATGACAGGTATCAGCTGCCTTTGGAGTCAGACATCAGTGAGGCAGATGAACAGCTGGAGTCTGTTCCCAGTGTGCGCATGCGCAGAGTTGCCAGACGAAGAGAACAGCTAAAGAACAAGGGTCGACTTGGGAGTAAGGCCACAGGTGGACGATGAAGGGCCCCTCCCATACAGAATAAAAGAGGAGCGAAAGGGGAGTGGAGTTTGCAGGAGACAATTAGTTCATTACTGCATTCTTGCCAAGTATTGCCTCGTCTGAAAGATATCGGCCTGGCCACTCTCCAAGCCTGACAAAGGTCAATATTGTGAACTATCTTGAAAGACTGCAGGAGAGGAAAGACTTTGCTGGAGAGGAATTCACTGTAAATTAATAAAAGGCGTTTATCGGGAAGAGGACTCGGCTTCGTGCTGCTGGGGAAGCCTAGGTTAGAACAGTCTCCTTTCCCACAGGCGAAAGCAAGGGACTCCTCCCCTTGATCCTCTGAGGGTTTCCTGTGGTTCCAAGACTAAGTTTTAAGTCTAAGGGCAGAGTGCATAGACTAAATCTATAGGCAGAGTTCATTTTCTCCTGACAGATTATGAGGGTATGGGATGTCTTCCTTGATCTTGCTCGGTAGTGTTAAACTCAAGGCCCGTAGGCTGGATCCGGCCCGTGGGGTGCTTAGATCTGACTGGCCGGGCCGCCCTGCAAACAGTGAAGGACCGGCCCGTGGTACCTCTATCAGTGAAAACGGAGCTCGTGAGGGCCACATGCAGCCCTCCCTCCCGGGCTCCATTTTTGGCTGTGACGGCCTCCTGCAGCCCTTTGCCAGCGAAAACGGACCCTCGTAAGGCCACATGCGGCCCTCACAAGCTCCTTTTTTACTGGCAGAGCGCTAGCAAAACAAGCTACTAGCAAAAGTGGCATTTGATCACACGTGTGATGTCGAGCTGGCCACACCCACCCTGGCAATGTTCCCCCAGCATCCTTCCAGGTCAAACACAACCCTGATGCGGCCCTCAATGAAATCGAGTTTGACACCCCTGATCTTGCTCTTTGTCTAATCGGGTGGATTACAGCACAACTCCGTATTTGCAGAAATACGGAGTTGTGCTCTAAAATAAAAAAAGAAAGAGATTGAGATTGAATAGTCAAATGGAGGAGCTGAATATCTACAGCAGGGCCCCCCAACCTTTTGGGCACTAGGGACTAATTCCCCAGAGAAAGGTTTTTCCATGGACTGGAAGGGGTGTGTTTTTGTGTGCTGCCTGCATTCCGCTGATGGGGCTTCACTTTTTTGCAAGGCCCCGTTGCTGTCATACCGCGGACCGGGGGTTGGGGACCCCTGGGGACCCCCTCAGAACGGGCTCACAATTTGGGTGTCCTCCTAGACTCACAGTTAAGATTAGAGCAACATCTGACAGCTGTGGCTAGGGGGACCTTTGCACAGGTTTGCCTGGTGCACCAATTGCGACCCTACTTGTATCAGGAGGCTCTCCTCACAGTCACTCATGCCCTTGTCACCTCACGGTTAAATTATTGCAACCTGCTCTACATGGGGCTACCCTTGAAAAGTGTTCGGAGACTACAGTTGGTCTCGAGCGCGAGCTGTCGTGGGTGCACCTAGATACACCCACATTACACCAATTCTCCACGAGCTGCACTGGCTCCCTATTGGTCTCCGGTCACAATTCAAGGTGTTGGTTATTACTTTTAAAGCCCTACATGGCTCAGGGCCAGGTTATCTTCGAGACCTCCTTCTGCCGCATAGCTCCCAGCGACTGGTAAGATCCCACAGAGTTGGTCTGGCAGGCTGGCAGGCCCATGGGGGAGGGCCTTCTCTGTGGCTGCCCTGGCTCTCTGGAACCAGTTACCTCCTGAGGTCCGGACCATCCCCACCCTATTGGCCTTCCGAAAAGCAGTGAAGACCTGGCTTTTCCCGCAGGCCTGGGGCCATTGATCTTGCTCTTGTGATCTGGTGAAATCCGGCCATGAATGGCGTGAATGAGTTTTTAATGTTTTAATGTTTTTAATTTTTAAATGTTTTTTATAATGATTTTTTGGAATGTATTGTGAGCCGCCCTGAGTCTTCGGAGAGGGGCGGCATATAAATTGAATTAATTAAATTAAATTAAATTAAATTAAATCTACAGTATCTGTGTTGCGGTCAGTATCAGAAGACCAGGATATCTCCAATCCATGAGTTCTAGCTTCTGTAACTTAATGCACATACCTGCATTTTTGTGCTTTTGAAATGCTAATTTCATTATCCACATTTCTCCATAATCATGCATCCTGCTGGCCTCCACCAAGGGATTGTTAAGTATCTTGTTGTTGACATCCTTCTGTTGATTTCTCTACAGGTTTGCAACCCATCTACTGGAGCAGAGACGATGTGGGTCAATGGCTAAAGTGGGCGGAGAAGGAGTTCTCCCTTAGAACCATTGACAGCAATACCTTTGAGATGAATGGCAAAGCTCTCTTGCTACTAACCAAAGAGGACTTCCGATACAGATCTCCACATTCTGGTAAGTAATTTTAAGAAGTATCGTATTTTTCAGAGTATAAGACGCACCTTAATTTTTTGGAAGGAAATTAGGGGGGTGAAATTTCTGCCTACCAGGTATTCATCTGGCTAGCGTCCTTAGCACATTAGTTCTCTTGCTAGTTTTGAGGTTAGGGCTGGTTGGGGCTAAAAACCAGCTTCTAGAGCACAGCTGATCGTCAGAGGGAGCAGCAATTAGAAAAGCAGGCAAAGCACGGAAGATTGCTTCGCTCGCAAGCGCTGCGTTGGGGCTGAAAAACAGCTTCAAAAGCACAGCTGATCGTCTGAGGGAGCTCCAGTGACTAAAGCAGGCGAAGCATGGAAGGGGTAAGAGAAGGCAGCAGCTGTTCTGGGTAGCCATTTTGGGCACCACGTGTCACATTTTCAGCCTCCAAATGTGTTGCGACGATCGGCGGCAATGTGCTTTGGCGCTCGCCTCAGACTTGAAGGGCTCTCAAACAGAGTGTTTGGAGGCTGTAAACGCGATGCGCGGAGCCCAAAAACACAAGCCATTGTGGGTGGCAATCTCTGCAGCCAGGAAGAGGACGCGTGGAGGCCGAAGGATGGGGGCCAGCAGGTGGGCGGGGTTACATTCTGAGTATAAGACGCACCCAAATTTTCAGTTTCTTTTAGGAGGGAAAAAAGGGCGTCTTATACTCCGAAAAATACAGTAAAATCTGTCAGAGATTAGATGTGGAGGAGAATCAACATCCGCAATATTTTTAATTAAACTTCATTGCATTCATATTATTGTTACACATTTTTACTTGCTGCAGGAATGGGTTACGCCTCCTGATTTAGTTTAGATTGGAGATGGAGGAACCCTAACAGCAAACAAATTCCATTTAATATTAACCCCATTTTGATCATTATTTTAAATAAAGACCTAGTGAAGGGAAAAATAAAACAATTCCAAACTCTTTTTTGGGGGGAGGGGGGTGTAAGTGGGATGGGGAAAATGGAAATTTAATACATTCTCATCATACAAATTTTATTTCCATTTTCCAGAGTATTAGTTATCTCATTCATTTTTGTCATCTGCAAACCTGATAAACATTTACCTCATCCAAGTCACCAATAAAAAAAATATTGTGGGAGAGAGAGGGTACAAAAATGAATATTGTAGCATGCCACAGATTTGAAAAGGAGTCACTGGAGATACAATTTTGCAGCCGACCATGTGTCCATCTTTATTGCAAATTGGAATGTCACAGAATATTCTGTCAGTGGTAGAATATATTATGATTAGAGCATTTGTACATCTTAATAGAAAATTAGCCAATTTTTTTAAAAAAAACAAGATAAGGCTAGTCTCAAGGATTAATTCTTGACTAATTTCTTTGGACTTCTGGCAATTGTCATATTGCTACAAGGTTAATTGCTGGTATGGTATGAAAAATGCATGTCTTGGAAATATTCATAATTTACCTCATGCAAGATACTCAGAGCAGCAAATAATGTTATTGGAAAGAGTATACAGCAAACGTGAAGAACATTTTAAAGCAGCGGTTCTCAACCTGGGGGTCGCGACCCCTTTGGGGGTCGAATGGCCATTTCACTGGGGTCGCCAAAGCCCTCTCTCCCCCCCCCAACGCCTTCACTCACCCTCACCCTCTGCGAAGGGTGAGGGTGAGACCAGTCCTCGAATTTACGACTGTCCTCACATTTTACGTTTTTTGCCCTATCTTATACCATGTTGAAGAGAAGCAGTTGTGAAATGAGTGACATGGTTGTTAAGAATGCTGCACAGGCATAAATGTGAGGATGGTCATAAGTGTGAGGACCAGTCAAAAGTCCGAGGACCTGTCAGAAATGACTTTTTTCAGCCCTCTGAGTAGTCCCTATACACATAGCCATGGCCACCAGGTCACATGACCAGCTAGCCACACCCACCCAGTCACATGACCTCCAAGCCACACCCACAAAATAAGTCACGCCCACAGAACCAGTAGTAAAAAAATTTAGAACCCACCCCTGGTTGGGGGTCACCACAACATGAGAAACTGTATTAAAGGGTCGCGGCATTAGGAAGGTTGAGAACCACTATTTTAAAGAGTAATAGTAGACAAGTTGTAGCATTAAAAATAACTGCAACACAGCATTGCAAAGCTGACCCAACTATAACTCCAGCCAGCTTGTTTTGGCTTGTTATCTGAAAGTCAGTCTGTCAGTGTAGCAGAGAAGGGCTGTTTTCTAAATGCTGTGATAGTGAGCAAATACAGAGTAGATCAACAGGATCACGTGAGAGAAGTGATCCGGATCCTAGTTTGCTACATTTCCAAAATTAAATCAGAATCTACCTGTTCTTACCTAGGCTTCCTCAAAAAAGCACAAAGCAGAATCCTGATTCCGACAAAACCCCTTTTATTAAACAAACAGTGAATTCCTCTCATTCACCTTCAGCAAAGTCTTTCAAGGGAGAATTTACAGTCACAGACTTTATCTGGCTTGGAGAGCTGCCAGGCCGATATCTTCAAAACTTGGCAAAGAGTCTCGGAGAGTCACAAACCAATTAGGCGAACTAATTGTCTCCTGCAAACTCCATTCCCTTTTCGCTCCTCTTTTATTCCCTCTGGGAGGGGCTATTCATCATCCACCTGTGGCCTTACTCCCAAGTCGACCCTTGTTCTTTAGCTGTTCCCTTCACCTGGCAACTCTGAGCCTGGCTCCAGCTGTTCGTCTGCCTCACTGATGTCTGATTCTGAAGGCAGCTGATATCTGGCATCCGGCCCTGGCCCCCTCTCTGCCTCCGACGCAGAGCCCTCATCGGAGCCTTCCCCAGACTCCAGGACTGGCCTATGTTCCTCCCCAACCTCGTCAATGTCCGAATCTGCTGCCAGCTCTGCTGGCCGGTGGCGGGCCACAACACTACCTTCATGTGACCTCAGTTTCTTATTCTGAAATGACCTTCTCTTGTGTGGATAGCCTTTTGGTGGCCCATGAGGGCTTTCAAAAAATCAGTTGGTTTTCCTCAAGGCCCCATTCCTGCCATCTTTCCTTAAAAGAACTGATTTGATGGATCTCACCTTCCCTCAAATGTGAGGTAGTCCTTGACTTACAAGCTCTCATTTAGCGACCGTTCAGAGTTACAACAAAACTGGAAAAAGTGACTTACGACTGTTTTTCACACTTATGACCAGTGCAGCATCCTCATGCTCATGTGATCAAAATTTGGATACTTGGCAACTGACTCATATTTATGACGGCTGCAGTGTCCCGAAATCACCTTTTGCGACCTTCTGACGAGCAAAGTCAACAGGGAAGCCAGATTCACTTAACAACAGTAGTACTCACTTAACAACAGCAACAACAAGAGCCTTGGTACTACAGGGGTTTAAGGCACCCTGTTATTAAGCTTATTAAGACCAGCTGCCTGCAATTACTGCAGGGTTCGAATCTCGCCAAGGCTCAAGGTTGACTCAGCCTTCCATCCTTTCTAAGGTAGGTGAAATGAGGACCCAGTTTGTGGGGGCAATAAGCTGACTTTGTATAAATATACAAAAGTATGAAGGCTATTGCTGAGCACATTGTAAGCCGCCCTGAGTCTTCGGAGAAGGGCGGCATATAAATCAAATTAAAAAAAAAAAACAGCAGCGATTCAGTTAACGACTATGGCAAAAAAAAAGGTTATAAAATGGGCAAAACGCACTTAAAAACTGTCTCGCTTAGCAACATAAATTTTGGGCTCCATTGTGGTCATAAGTCAAGGACCACCTGTAAATACTTTTCTGCTGCTGAAGCAGAGTTTTGTACCTTGAAAGGAAAGAGCCATGGAACTTCTGTGTTTTATTATCCTGGGAGCTGGGCAGTTATCAGAACGAATGCAGATAAATATGTGAATAAATATAACCTGCCTTTCTAGCTTTAGGGACCTCAAAGTCTTTAAAAATTCATTTTCCTGAGTTGGCACTTTTTTTCTTCTTCTTCTTCGTCTTCTTCCAGGTGATGTGTTATACGAGCTTCTTCAGCACATCTTGAAGCAAAGAAATTCTCATATGTTGTTTTCTCCCTTCTTCCACCCTGGGAATTCTGTTCATGCTCCGCCAGATGTCATGCTGCATCAGAACCACGATGAAGGTAACCGCAAGGACTTCTTTATTTTATGAGGACCAAAATTACAAAAACGGGTTAGGTGATGCTGTGGAAAGAAAGAGGACAAGAAAGGGATGGGTTTGGGGTTGGGAAAGCATACCGATAAAGGAGAATGTTTATGTTTGAAATGAAACAGGAGTGAAATGCTACCGGTTCAGACCGGTTCAGCTGAACCGGTAGCAATGGCGACAGGTGGTTCGGAGAACCGGTAGCTCCGCCCACCCACCCGGTCGTCGTTACTTCCTAGTTTTAACCAGAAAGTAGCCTGTTATTTACCCTCTGCGCATGCACAGAAGGGTTTGCGCATGTGCAGAGGGTCCACGCATGTGCACGGCACGTGCACTTCCGAACCAGTAGGGAAGATAAGTAGATTTCACCCTTGAAATGAAGGATCCTTGGTGCTCTCTGGGTTTGGGGTTGTTTTCTTGCAGAGGTTTCATTACCCAGCTAGGTAACATCATCAGTGTGAAGCATGGAATGCGTGTGGCATCCTATTTAGATCACTCCTATACAGGGGTGGGCTTCAAAAATTTTAACAAGGGATTCTCTGCCAGGTTGCTGGGTGGGCGTGGCCTAGTCGGCCTCCTGTACCACAGTAGTGGGGTGTTTTTGCCCTCCCCAGGCTCCAAAGGCTTTCCTCAAGCCTCCAGGAGGGCAAAAATGGCCTCCCCAGGCTCCGGAGGCCCTCTGGAAGCCAGTAGGCCTGTTTTTCACCCTCCCCGAGTCTCCGCACGTGCCCTGCACTTATCTGCATCCAAAACGGGCCGCGTGGGGACTCCTGGCAGGGGTGGGCAGGGGTGGGCAGGGCCAGCCAGGAGTGGAATTTGGGGGTTCTCCGAACAGCACAGAATCTTAGCTAGAGGTTCTCCCGAACCCCCAGCAGCCCACCCCTGCTCCTATAACTGTGATTTATAAATCCTGAGTATGCCTGTAAAGTTAGAACCGTATTTTTCAAACCTTGCAACTTTAAGATGGGCAGACTTCAGGTCACAGAATTCCCCAGGCAGCATGCATCGTCACCCTCCCCCTAGGGTAATGTTGGATCACAAACACAGGTACCCATGAAGTTTTTAGAGAATCATAGTTTGGTAATGTTGGGAAATTCCCAGCCAGACAGAAAGGAGGGGTCAAATGAGGAACTAGCCTTGAGCCCTTTTATAGCCACAAGAGACTGCATAGGACTGGCCACTGCCTAAATTCCTTGAATACTTATCTGTCTGTTCCCAGGGGAAGGTAAACAGCCTGGGGAGACTCTTACATTATAGGTAGAACATACTAAAGTCACTGACTTGGATTCTTCACAAATTGATCTAGATAGAATCAAGATCACGTGAAGTGTTAATACCACTTTATAAGGCCTTGGTAAGGCCACACTTGGAATACTGCTTTCAGTTTTGGTCGCCACGATGTAAAAAAGATATGGAGACTCTAGAAAGAGTGCAGAGAAGAGCAAGAAAGATGATTAGGAGACTGGAGGCTAAAACATATGAAGAACGGTTGCAGGAACTGGGTATGTCCAGTTTAATGAAAAGAATGACTAGGGGAGACATGATAGCAGTCTTCCGATATCTCAAGGGCTGCCCCAAAGAAGAGGGAGTCAAGCTGTTCTCCAAAGCACCTGAGGGCAGGACAAGAAGCAATGGGTGGAAACTAATCAAGGAGAGAAGCAACTTAGAACTAAGGAGAAATTTCCTGACCGTTAGAACAATTAATCAGTGGAACAACTTGCCTCCAGAAGTTGTGAATGCTCCAATACTGGATGTTTTTAAGAAGAGACTGGACAACCATTTGTCTGGAATGGTATAGGGTCTCCTGCCTAAGCAGGGGGTTGGACTAGAAGACCTCCAAGGTCCCTTCCAACTCTGTTATGCTATTCTATTCTAATCTGGTTGCATGCACCTGACAGAATGGAGGCTTTGACTCAATTGGCAGCGAGTCAGATAGCTCTGAACGCTGTCGTCCTCTTTCAGACAACATTGCTGATGGGGAGTTTAATCCCAATTAATCCTGGGTTTATCCTTGCAGTGGACAGGTAGCTAGAAAGGAGTGAGGACTTCAGGAACACAATTGTAGCTGAGATCTTGACTTAATTGCCTCCTACCATGGATGTCTCTGTGGCAGTGGTGAAATCCAAATTTTTTTACTACCAGTTCTGTGGGCATGGCTTGGTGGGCGTGGCAGGGGAAGGATACTGCAAAATCCCCATTCCCACCCCACTCTTCGGGGAAGGATATTGCAAAATCTCCATTTCCACCCCACTCTGGAGCCAGCCAGAGGTGGTATTTGCCGGTTCTCCAAACTGCTCAAAATTTCTGCTACCGGTTCTCCAGAATCTGTCAGAACCTGCTGGATTTCACCCCTGCTCTGTGGGCCAACTGTCTCTGAAAGATTAGCAGACTCTGATTAAGTATGTGGCCCAAAAACACTGTTTTGTTGTAAACCAGAGCTGTTTTTCACCTCCCCTCACCGTATCATCTGAAGACATCATACCCTATACTTGGCCAGACTTCATCAGCGCCCGCCTTCTCCAACGCTCCAAAATCTCTTTGATCTTTTTTCTTTCATTTCCGGCTCCTACAATTTAAAGCTGTACGTTTGCATTTTTTGTGGTCCGCCTCTGGTAGAAATGAAAAGCTGAGGAAGGGTGTTTCATTGGGATTACGGATTTCCTTGCAGCCGCAGATTCTTCTAATCTAGCCAGTGAGAAGAATTGTAAGAAGGAAAGCTGGGTCAGTCTATGGTAGCCCAAATTTGGGAGGTGGCTGGTAGCATTTCCCCCCCCCAACTCACACATTACTAAAAGGCAAAAGATTATGTCAGTTGCAGTTTCCTTCATCCTGCATCATTTTAGCATTGGGTCTCTGATGAAGGCAGCTGCCTCTCACAAAAGCTTATGCCCTTTAATATGAGTTGGAGCAAATGTGACCAAGCTTGTTCGAATATTGGACTGAGAGAGCAATGCTTTCTACCAAATGTTCACAGGTGGATAATCCCATCTCTCCCAAATCCTTATGACTTGCATCTCTGGTGTTTAGTGGACGAACTGGAGCAGCTAAATATAGTCGTGTTTCCCCTTCAGGGAAATTTTTTCCTTTGGACTTGCTTTTATTCAGGATTTTGTAACCCAAGTTTAGGGATGCGGTGGCTCAGTGGCTAAGACGCTGAGCTTGTCGATCGAAAGGTCGGCAGTTCAGCAGTTCGAATCCCTAGCGCCGTGTAACAGGGTGAGCTCCCGTTACTTGTCCCAACTTCTGCCAACCTAGCAGTTAGAAAGCAGGTAAAAAATGCAAGTAGAAAAATAGGGACCACCTTTGGTGGGAAGGTAATAGTGTTCTGTGCACTTTTGGCGTTTAGTATGCCGGCCACATGACCACAGAGATGTCTTCGGACAGCGCTGGCTCTTTGGCTTTGAAACGGAGATGAGCACCGGCCCCTAGAGTCGGGAACGACTAGTACATATGTGCGAGGGGAACATTTACTTTTAACCCAAGCTTGCTCCGTCCAACTCACAATGGACAGGCAGGCAAGAGAAGGGGTCTCGGCACATGCAAGAGTTTGGCCTTAAGTCTTAAGGTCATCTGCACCAATTACTCTGAAATGCGATACCTGCTTGCCACCAGCTTTAAGTTGAACAGCCCTTCTAAACTGCCTGCTGGTTTACAGTCCGTGCTGGAAGGCGAATGTCCTCCAAAAACAGGGCCCTGGAATGTGAAATTTAAGAATGCGGCTCACCCAGCCACGGAAGAGGCTGCTGGTTGCACATCTGGGTGATTCCTGATCTGGACTCCTCTGTTTCCAGTCAGTTATTTTCCAAAGCACCAGAAGGCAAGACAAGAAACAACCTTGGAACTAAGGAGAAACTTCCTGACAGTGAGAACAATTAACCAGTGGAAGAGCTTGCCTTCAAAAGTTGTGGGTGCTTCATCCATGGAGATGTTTAAGAAGAGACTGGGCAGCCACCTGTCTGAAATGGCACAAGGCAGTGATGGCTAACATTTTTTTTTTTAATTTGATTTATATGCCGCCCTTCTCCGGAGACTCAGGGCGGCTTACAGTGCGTTAAGCAATAGCCTTCATTCTTTTGTATATTTATACAAAGTCAGCTTATTGCCCCCACAAACTGGGTCCTCAATTTACCTACCTTAGAAAGGATGGAAGGCTGAGTCAACCTTGAGCCTTGGCGAGATTCGAACCCTGCAGTAATTGCAGGCATCTGGTCTTAATAACCAGCTTAATAACAGGGTGCCTTAGACCACTGTACTACCAAGGCTCTTTTCCGGACCAAGTGCCCAAAGTGTGCGTGCCAATGCGCACGGGCATGCCCAAACCCCCAAAATGCAATGTGCACAGAGCCCCGTACATGTGCCCTGCCCCCGGTGCATGCAACCCCCGCACATGCACATGTGGGCCCCCCGCATGTCCCCCCCCAGATACACACACCCCCGGTGCATGTGGGGCAGAGACCCGAAGACCAGCTGGCCGGTGGGAGGTGCACGCACATGGGCAGCACAGCTGAGCTGGGGTGACAGCTCGTGTGCCCACAAAGAGGGCACAGCGTGCCGCCTCTGGCACGCTTGCCATAGGTTTGCCATCAGCAGCCTTGATTTTGCTCTGCTCCCCACAAACAGCTTCAACCTGATCACACACACACACACACACACACACACACACACACACACACGGGGCCTAAAATGTCGCCTTTCTCATTGGCTCTCTCTCTCCCCCCCCCTTTCCAAACATTCTTCAGTCACCGCAGACAGGGGCATGGCTTGGCACCCGAGTTTTCACTTCCTTGTGCCCGTTTGGGTAAGATTGACCTAAATAGCGAAACAAAGAAAGACCTTTTCTTGTTTATGACTTCGGCTGTGTGAATCATAAAATCCACACCAGGGCCGTTTCCTCTCCAGCTTCAGCCAGGAAACGGGTGGGTGCTGTCTATGGACATGAGGAGCGTCTGAGGGGGCTGGAGTCAGACGGAGGTCAGTGCGAGGCACTGGAAGAATCCGAGCCGGATGTGACCCCTGGGGTCTTCAGCAAAGGACCTCTTGGGATTTTGCAGCAAGGGGTGGGGGGGGGGATCTGATATGTTACTTGGGGGGCTTTGTAAATCTTTCAAACAGTCCCAGTGCAATAACCAGTGGAGAAAATGGAAAAGCAGAAATGCTCCCTGCGGAAGGGGGCAGGGTTAGGGAGTCACACAAATGGGCTGGAACTAATTACGGTTCCACTGAATTAGAAGATTTACATGGGTGTATAAAAGCCCTGTTTTGGCTTTGCAAAAAAAATTTAAAAAATGCAATTCTCTCCCTCTCCCCCACAATAGCAACACAATGTGAGTTTTCCCCATTTTTCCACATTTTACACCAGGGAATGTTGTGGCATGCTGGAGTAGGTCGTCTTGAATCTGAAAAGGCAAAATGCCAACGTGGTCCACAAAGCCTGGTATTTGACATAATAATAAAACACAGTGCGATGATATAGAATGGCATGGCGTAGAGTAGAGTAGAGTAGAGTAGAGTAGAGTAGAATAGAATAGAATAGAATAATAGAATAGAATAGAATAGAATAGAATAGAATAGAATAGAATAGAATAGAATAGAATAGAATAGAATAGAATTCTTTATTGGCCAAGTGGACACACAAGGAATTTGTCTTTGGTGTATATGCTCTCAGTGTACATAAGGAGAATAACATACATTCATCGAGAATAAAAAGATACAACACTTAGTGATAGACAAGGTTACTAATAAGCTATCAAAACGTACAAGGAAACAAATAAAAACTGTGTAATTGAAAGATACAAGCAACATGGTTATAGTAATAAGTGGGAAGAGATAGATACTAGTAAGGAAGAGAATAATAATAATAGTAATGCAGTCTTAGTAAATTATATGACAGTGTTGTGGGAATTAGTTATTAAGCAGAGTGATGGCATTTGTGGAAAAAACTGTTTTTGTGTCTAGTTGTTCTGGTGTGCAGTGCTCTATAGCTTCTTTTTGAGGGTAGAAGTTGAAACAATTTATGTCCAGGATGTGAGGGATCTGTAGATATTTTCACAGCCCTCTTTTTGACTCGTGCAGTATACAGGTCCTCAATGGAAGGCAGGTTGGTAGCCATTGTTTTTTCTGCAGTTCTAATTATCCTCTGAAGTGTGTCCGTCTTGTTGGGTTGCAGAGCCAAACCAGACAGTTATAGAGGTGCAGATGACAGACTCCATAATTCCTCTGTAGAACTGGATCAGCAGCTCTTTAGGCAGTTTGAGCTTTCTGAGTTGGCGCAGAAAGAACATTTTTTTTGTTGAGCTTTTTTGATGATATTTTTGATGTTAGGTATCCATTTTAACTCTTGAGATATGATAGAACCTAGAAACTTGAATATATTTCTTTTCAATTGATTCTTACTGAAGACATCGTTACAGAGTAAAATCATCTAAAGGAAAAAGGAAATAAAGGAAAAGGAAAGTGGTGAGAAGAAGTGAAAGGGAAAAGGAGAAAAGAAAGACAAAATATAAAGAAATTACTTCCAATCTTCTTTGCAGCAACAAATGCATTTCAATTTTATTCTCTCTCTCTCTCTAAGATTACATTATGACTTCTCTCCTTTCCATCTACCCTTGGTAATCAGCAAAAACCCATAAATCACGAGCATATTTTTATTACTATCAGCAAAAAGAAAAAAAAAGAAAGTCCACAAAGGATTTCCAGTCACTAATAAATGTCGTTATTGTCTTTTCTCTAATTAAGCAAGTCAATTTTGCAAATTCTATCATCTTCACCAACCGTTCCTCCATTGTGGGTATTTCAGAGTCTTTCAATTTTTGTGCATTTTATTCTCATTATTTCATTGGAATGGTAGGGACCACAAGCATTTAGGAAAGGGTTTTCTGGAAGGCAGTGGATGAAAATGTGATTAGTTCTCATGCTAATATAGTTTACACCTTCTTCAACCTGTTTCCCTACCTGTATTTAGACAACAGTTCTCAAGACTTCCCATGAGTCTTGTTGACTTATAGTCAGGACTTTCCAAGTTGAAGAGAGTGTATCTATAGCTCGGGGTAGAATTGTGAACGTGGTGTTAACTTGGTTCTTTGCAGATGTTTCATTACCCAACTTGGTAATAGCATCATCCTGAGTGAGTCTGGGGGTTTCCTGCCTGCTTATATGCAGTAGCTTGCCATGCCAGATTTGTTGAGGGTGTATTGACTTCCTTGGTGGTTCCTTGATTTAGAGTGTTACTTTCTGCCTGTTTTTTTGTCTGGTATTAATCCCTGCTTATCTGAGCGTGGGCTGCTTAGACGGATATGTTCTAGTCTTTTTATTTCCTCCCTAGGTTTTTTTGTTGCCTCTTTTGACTGGTATGTAAATATAGTTTATCTCTAGGGGTTTGTTGATGGCTGATTTGTCTGAAAGACCAGCTTCTGGGAATTGCCTAACATTTTTGGATTTGGCTTGATGCAAGATGCTAATAGTTTCCCAGATGAAACTGGGGCTTAAGTCTGTCCATATGTTGCGAGATGAAGGAGTGCTCGCCATATTCTTTTCTTTTATGTACACTGAGAGCATATGCACCAAGACAAATTCCTTGTGTGTCCAATCACACTTGGCCAATATAAAAAATTCTATTCTATTCTATTCGTATCTTCTGAGAGCTGGTTGGCATTTGTGGATGCACGAACCCTATACCCTAATCATTTTTACACAATATGTTAGGCAAGTATTTTTGCCTAATTTTGACAATGTTTCTTGGTATTTGTGTGTGTGTGTGTGTGTGTGTGTTAAATAGGCTTCATTCAGACTTTAATGTGCAGTTTGGCAGCAAGCTTGATTCTGTCCCAGACTTTTCCAAATGTTTTCCCACGCCAGAGACCAAATGCAGGGTAGCTATTACTTAAGTTACAATTTATTTTATTTAGTTATTTCATCTTGGACCTACAGGCTGCACGCTTGGTTGTAAGCAGTGGTGGAATTCAATTTTTTTTAGTACCGGTTCTGTGGGCGTGGCTTGGTGGGCATGGCGTGGCTTGGTGGGCATGGCAGGGGAAGGATACTGCAAAATCCCCATTCCCTCCCCACTCCTGGGAGAAGGATATTGCAAAATCTCCATTCCCACCCCACTCTGGGGCCAGCCAGAGGTGGTATTGGCCGGTTCTCCAAGCTATTCAAAATTTCCGCTACCGGTTCTCCAGAACCTGCTGAATAGCATCCTGGTTGCAGGGTGGATTTGATTTAAATCGACTTGATTTAAATCACAATTTAAATCATGATTTAAGTCACTAGTAAAAAGGCTTGATTTAAATCAACTCGATTTAAATCATAATTTTTAAAGAGCAACTGTCATCTCTGCTACTCCTTTGACCCACTGTTGACTCACTGATAGTCCCAATGTTGCAGAATATACAGCCTCATGCTACATAACTAAGCTCCATTTCATGCTGAATAAATTAAATTATTTATGTATCTTAAATAGAAAACTATCTTACGATAGATTTTTACCCCAAAAGTTTTTTATTAAAATAAATTCGATAAAAATCAAAAAAATCTGATTTTTTTGATTTTTTAAAAAAAATCATTGATTTTTATCCACCCTGCCTGGTTGTAAGGATGGATATAGTTTTATTGACCCATTTGATGGCGCCTGATTTTTTTTATTATCTTTTTTTTTCTCTTTGTTTCACAGACAACTTTATCTCAAGAGCTTCAAGGCAGTCGACAGACTCAATGCATCACAATCCACCTACCATTGAACTCTTACACCGCTCCAGATCACCCCTCAGCGCTAATCACAGGCCTTCGCCAGAGTCTGAGCAGCGGTCCTTGAAGTCCCCCCTGGAGAACACTATCCGTCGCCTCTCGCCAGCTGACCGGCTCTTGGGCACGCGACACCAGGAGAACAATCATCAGGAGTCTTACCCTCTCTCGGTGTCTCCGGCTGAGAGCAACCATTGCCCAACACCTTCCGAAGTGGCTCAGAAGCCTTCCAGTCCTCGCCAGGAAAATACTAGGGTCATCCAGTTGATGCCCAGTCCGATAATGCACCCTTTGATACTGAATCCCCGACACTCCGTTGACTTCAAAGCTTCGAGGTTGTCTGAAGATGGGCTGCACAGAGAGGTGAAGCCCATCAACTTGTCCCACCGTGAAGAGTTAGCGTTCATGAACCACATCATGGTGTCCGTCTCGCCCCCTGAAGAGCACGCAATGCCAATAGGGAGAATCGCAGGTCAGTGCAATATATTTATTTATTTTTATTCATTTAGGGAATTTATATTGTTGCTGTTCTCACCTAGGCTTCCTTAGAAAGTATACAGCATAATCTTAGTCCTGGCAAACCTCTTTTATTCATACAGCTGTGAGTCATTGTCATTCCCCATCCGAAAGGCTTCTCAAACAGTCTATCAGGGGAGTGTTTACAAACACTCACCTTATCTCCCTTGGAATGCTGCCAGAGAACTAATTGCCAAACGCAGGGCAAGGCCAAACTTAGCACAGAGTCGAACAGATTTTTTTCCAGAGCTTCTACTGACCAGATGATCTAATTGCTTCCTGCAAAAGCTCACGTCCCATTCGCTTCTCTTTTATGTCTTATGGGAGGGGCCAATCATCTCCAAGCCTTACTCCCAAGTCGACCCTGTTTTCTTAATTGTTCCTGTCTCCTGGCAGCTCTGCGCATGTGCACACTGGGAACAGGCTGACGCTGTTTTTCTGCCTCACTGATGTGAGACTCCGGAGGCAGCAAAGAACTACCAGATGGCCTTGGCCCTCTCTCTGCCTCCAACTCAGAGCCATCGTCCGAGCCTTCCCCAGACTCCAGGACTGGTCCACATTCCTCCCTAAACTCCTCATTGTCCGACTATGCTGCCAGCTCTGCTAGCTGCTGGTGGGCCACAACAGCTGCCTATTCGCACATGGTGACTCAAGGTGGCTGACAGACTATAAAACCTCATACAAAAACAATAAAACTAATAAAAGAAGAATCATATAATAAATTAATATGTTAAAATCACCCTCTGCCCTTGCGGTAACACCTCACACAAGCCATTTAATGGACTCCATCCCAATCTGGGTTACCCAGGCCTGCTGGCAGAACCAGGTCTTCAACGCCTTCCAGAAAAGTGCTAGAGTGGGGGTCATTCTAATCTGTTTGGGGGGGGGGATGATGTTCCAGAGAGAGGGGGCTACCACGGAGTAGGCCCTTCTTCTGGGTCCCACCAGGTATAACCATGCCAATCATGGTTGCCTCTTTAGAACAGGAGTTGGGAACTATTGCCCTTTTATGACTTGTGGACTTCAACTCCCAGAATTCCTGAGCCAGCCAGGAATTCTGGGAGTTGAAGTCCACAAGCCATAAAGAGGCCATACTTCCCGACCTCTGCTTTAGAATAAAACCCACAGCTTTCACTAGCAGGCATGCATTTGCACACTTCTGTGCAGAGGTGGTATTCAGCCGGTTCGGATCGGTTCAGGCGAACTGGTAGCGGAAATCGCGGGTGGGCCGAACCGGTAGCAGAAATCACGCATGGGGCCACCCACCTGCCCCAGATCTATGCAGTCTTATTTAGGCACAGTTTTGAGGCTGGGTGCATATGCGGAAGGTGGGCATGCTCAAATTTTCAGGGCTGGGCGAAGCAGTAGGTAAATTATGTCAATCCCACCTCTGCTTCTGTGCCTTAGCTAGATACTTCTGTGTCCCAGATTTCTCCTAAAAATGCAAAATGAGCCACAAACTGAAATGAACCAGAATTATGCAAGGGAACAGGGAAGGCAGGGACGCACTACACACTCCTCAACTAACAGACACAATCAGGACTCAAATTTCCATTGCTACGCAAAGTGGTTGCTAAGCGAATCTCTCCAGTGGTGAAATGTAAAATTTGTTACTACCAGTTCTGTGGGCGTGGCTTGGTGGTGGTGGGGTAATGTGACTGAGTGGGCGTGGGCTTTTTTTAAAAAAAAACTTTTAAAACCATTTTTTCTACAACCTCTTCGGCCGAAGAGGTTGTTTAAAAAATGCTTTTAAAAGCCTCTGACAATCAGGCAACTCAGCTGGGATCGTCAGAGGCTTTTAAAAGCATTTTTAATTTTATTTCACTGATCTGCAAAGCTGGAAAAGTTTGGGGAACTCTGGTTTAGCATATCACTGCAGTTTTTAAGTGAATCCCGTGCTGACTCCTCCCTCCAGCTCGCGGTCTTCCCGAGATCTTTTCCAGTTCTGATCGCTCTCAGAATAAAAATATATTTACGCTTCTTTTAAGAAGGAAACATCATTTATTTATTTTGGCCAGCTGTAGTTTTAGGAAACTTATGTTAATAAAACTGGGAACCAATTTTTCTGACAGAATAAATAGCCTTCGCCTTCACGCCTTGATTTTTTCCCCACTCATAACGTTTCTCAGAAAAAACATTTATTTTGTGACTGATAAAAATGCTGCGGTTTAAGAGGAATAAATCTCCTATTGTGGCTAGGAAAAGGAGAAGGAGAAATAGACCAACCTAGAAAAATTAAGAGTTGTCATTCTCAGTGTATACAAGAGTTTTAAGATGGGAATTCAAGGTCTCCCATCCAATTTCATGTAGATTCTGTTTCACTTAGCTTCTAAATTGCACTGTTCTGCTAAAGCAGAGAAGGCCTTTAATTTATCTGCAGCATTTCAATTAGCACTTTGGTGATTCCTTTTTTTCTAAAAACAAGCACAGTTTTTAAAGTTCTGTATACAAAGTAGGAGTAACATACCGTATTTTTCGGAGTATAAGATGCACCTTTTTTCCCCCCTAAAAGGGGGTGAAAATTTAGGTGCGTCTTATACACCGAATGTAGCCCTGCCCACCCACGCATACGTGCGAGGGGAACCTTTACCTTTACCTAAGGCTTCTTCCACAGTTGAACGTTCCCCTTTATGCCTTTGTAGACGCCATTTTCAGATCTGTGATGACGGAGATCAGGGGTGGCTCACAGAGTGTCAAAAAAGTCAAGCAACGGGGACACACCTGCACAGTCGTCCAAAACATATTGCACGAGTAACACATTAAAGAAAGGGGAACTGTCACTTAAGCATGGCTGCCATCTTGTCTTTTTTGAGACGCCGTTCCCCTTCAGAAGCACCCCTGGAAATGTGGCCACCATCTTTCCCAATTATTATTGTTTTTTTTAATTAATCTTGTTCCAGCAACATGATGAGGCCAGTTCAAAAAAGAGCAAGGGAAGATGGAAGCTCTGTATCTCAATGAATTAGAGTAGGGGTGTTAAACTCGCGGGCCAGATGTGTCAAATGCTGGCCCCGCCCCTGCCCGGTTTAGGTAAAGGGGGGAAAGTCCCAATACGTCACGTGACGACGCCGTGACGACGCGAGTCTGACACCCCTGAATTAAACCAAGGTATCCCATTCGACAGCCAGCCATGTTGACTGGGGAATTCTGGGAGTTGGAAGTCTACGGGTCTTAAAATTGCCATGGTTGGAAAATCCTGAATCAGTGGCATATTTTTCAGTTTAATAAAGCTTGCTACTCCTTGCAAGGAGAAGCCTTTTTAATGTAATTTTTACCTCCCAGTTTGCCTAACGAATGAAATTAAACCAGCCTTAGAAAAATAAACAAGCCAAGTCTTTAAACTTTCATCACCTTTGATTAAAATTAGACCTTGCAATTGAGAACTTCCTGCACCATTAATCAGAGGGCACCAGGAAACTCAGACCTGTTCCAACGAACCTGATAGGCAGGAATTCACTGTATATATTGGAGGTACCAGGATAGGCAAGTTTTGATTTGATTGCAAACTCACATCAGGAGTTACACATCTGCATTGGCCCTTTAACCTTACACAGAATCAGAGGTGGGTTTCAGCAGGTTCTGACCAGTTCTGGAGAACCGGTAGCGGAAATTTTGAGTAGTTCAGAGAACCGGAAGTAAAAATTCTGACTGGCCCCGCCCCCATCTATTCTCTGCCTCCCAAATCCCAGCTGATTGGAAGGAAATGGGGATTTTGCAGTAACCTTCTCCTGGATTGGGGAGGGAATGGAGATTTGACAGCATCCTTCCCCTGCAGTGGGGTGGGAATGGAGATTTTACAGTATCCTTCCCCTGCCACACCCACCAAGCCATGCCACGCCCACCAAGCCACACCCACAGAACCAGTAGTAAAAAATTTTGAAACCCACCACTGCACAGGATCCATAAGGCACTGCTGAAGATCAGAAGACACAGATCTGACACAGATGAGGCTATGGATGTGTGTTTATTTCAGTGGTGAGTTCCTCCCGGTCCGGTCCGGTTCGGCCGAGCCGGTAGCGGTGACGATATGACATCACTGAACCGGTTCTCCGCCCCTGCCCTCCCACGTTATTCTTACCTTTTATTTGGTCCCACCCCCAATCTATTGGTGCCTCCTGAGTCCCAGCTGATGACTAGAGGGAAAAAACTGTTTAAACTTTTGCCGCCGGGCTTCAAAGGGCTGTCCTACAGCTGATCAGTGTTAAAAGCAAACAAATGAGTCAGGTCGTAAGTGCGAGGACTGGTCGTAAGTGCGAGGACCTTGCAGAAATGACTCTGACCAGCTAGCCACGCCCACCTAGTCACATGACCTCCAAGCCACACCCACAAAATAAGCCACTCCCACAGAACCGGTAGTAAAAAAATTTAGAACCCACCCCTGGTTTGTGTGTGTGTGTGTGTGTGTGTGTGAGAGAGAGAGAGAGAGAGAGAGAGAGAGAGAGAGAGAGAGAGAGCAGCTGGGCAAATGTGGGAATTGCCTTCCATTCATCACATTTTATGGATTTATTTGTATACAGGTAGTCCTCAGCTTATGACCACAACATTTCTGTTACTTAGCGAAACATTTGTTAAGTTGAATTTTGCTCCATTTTACGACCTTTCTTGCTACCGTTGTTAAGTGAATCGCTGCAGTTCCTGAGTCAGGAAAACGGTTGTTAAGTGAATCTGGCTTCCCCATTGACTTTGCTTGTCAGAAGGTCGCAACAGGTGTTGCACACACAACTGCGGGACACTCATAAATATGAGTCAGTTGCCAAGAGTCTGAATTATGATCACGTGACCATGAGGAGGCTGCAACGGTCATAAGTGTGAAGAACGGTCTTAAGTCACTTTTTTCAGTGCCGTTTGTAACTTTGAACAATCCTTAAATGAACTGTGGTAAGTTGAAAACTACTGTATTTTTCGGAGTATAAGACGCACCTTTTTTCCCCCTAAAAGGGAGTGAAAATTTAGATG